CGTACTTTTCCCTATTAATCTTCCGCACCCAACAAATTGAAGATTAACAAATCCAAGTTCATAAAGCTAAAGGAATCCTATGTTGATTTCACTATTTCTCAAATCTATCTCTAGCATTGAAATTAACAATGGTGATTATCCAAGAAGCTCAACATGACTCATTTCTCAATCTCATCATATTCAACAATTAAAATCAATAAAATTCGGAATAATCACACAATCTATGCAATAGAATATAAAGGCAATAATCATCAATGGATTAATCCATAGAAATCTGAATTACATCAAAACCCTAAACCAAAATGGGTTAGTTCATAACTAAATTAACACAAACAGCAAGAAAAACAATAAACCCAATAGTCAACATAGTGAAACACAAAGAAAAGAGTAGAGATCTCCCCTAGTTGAAGAATCCACAAGATTCAAGCTCAAATCTTCTCTCCAAATGTAAAAGCTACTCTAACCCAGACGAAAACCAGATGAACCCCTACGAAAATGGCAAGGTTTTCCTTATATAGTTCCCCCAAAAACCTAAAACCTTTCCTAAAATAAAACTGTGTGTTTTGGAGAAAACAAAATTTCATAAACTTCGCCGTGGCGACGAACTAAAGTGAGTCTCGTGCCTAGCTTATTTCACCGGGCGAACCTTCTTGGAAAATTTTGAATTTACAGAATTGCCCTCTGCTTGCTTCCTTGCTTAAATCTTCGATCTTCGATGCTTTCTCATGAGAACAAACTTCATAGTGCATCAGAACTTTCCCAAATTCTGAGATTCGCTTGCTTCTGTGTCCAAAAACTCCAATTTGCTCATTATTTGCTAAAAATGCACGTTTCAGCCTGAAACATAAAATATATAGAATTAAGTAGCAGTTCAGGCATAAACAAACAAAGAAGTATCTAAAATCTGGCCAAAAAGCCTAAATAAAATAGTATAATCCTTGGATTATCAAATACCCTCAAACTAAAGACATGCTCGTCCTCAAGCATCAGGTACAAAACACAAAGAAAGAAAAACACAAAACAACAAAACTGAAAATGATAAGACAAAAATTAGACTCAACTCAACATAAGAACTGCCTAGAATTTATACAAATCTCAATAATTGTTGAAAAATTATTACTGAAAAATGCATAACACTCCAAGAGGTTATTACTTGCATCAACTAACTTTCTCTAGTGGTCCCCCGAGTAGGTGATCCCCACTTCAGTCCACATTCCGACTGCCTGGATTATTTTATGCAGAAATGCAAAGTTTATCAAATAGTGTTAGACTCCATAAGCCTAAGTATCGAACTACTCTCCACTAATGAGGATTAGACATCACTAAAGATCAAAATGTCTTTACAAGCTTGTAACATTAGGCTCGGTTAGTGGGCTTCAAAGAAAAGGAAAGGATAAACTAACCAAGAGAAATTGGTTTCCTTTAAGCAAACAACAAGACTTAAATCAACTTCCACTTTCTTCCTCAACCACCACTTAAGAAATCAACCATTTAATAACCCTCAAGCATGTGCACTTCTCATTTTTGCTACTGCAATGCAATTCTTAAATTTTTTTTTTTTTTTAACAACAATAACCAATTTGAAGTTAATTACCCCTCTTATTCCTCTTGCCCTTCTCACAACCCCCAAACAATTCTTTTAGTTCATTCACATAACTCTCCAAACTTTTTGTGTTTGCATTAGGCTTAGAATTCTCTTAAAGGTTGCGGACGTGTTTAGGGTAAAAGGTTTGGGCATTATTGATTGCACAAGAAAGATATGACAACGATGATTTCATAAGGCTCAAATGGGTAACTAGGGATAAAATCTATGGTCGGCTAGAAAGGCTCAAACGTTCTGAAAAATTGCCTAAATCACTTCCTCAATAATGTCTATTCCTAGAATTTCACCTCAAGTACTTCTCAACTAGGTTCTAGAGTCCACCAACATTATCAAGACTTCACCTAACTGCATAAAATGAATCTAAGCATGCCGAAATAATGAAAATGGTGGTTGAACCACTCAACAAACCTCAAGCAAAATTCAGTCAAACAACATAAACTTGAAGCAATGCTTAACATTTTTCAACAATAAAATCCGAACAATCTTATTCTCATCATAAACTTATGCAATTCATCATCGGCATAACACAACAAAACATGAAAACAACAAAACATAAACAAAAAATTTGTTCAAATTTTTCCTACCCCCAAACTAAAGATGACATTGTCCCTAATGTCACATTATGCACAATTTAGGAATAGAAAAATAGAATTTACAAAGGTACGAGATAGTTCCCTGATTAATCCGAGAAGTCGAAGTTCTGCTCAACAGCATGCACACCCGTTCATTGGCTTTCTCATCACCATAATCTGTAAAACAATTGAAATGCTTTGGTGTTCACTGTGTTAGAAAATTTCACTTACTAATATGAATATATTACAATCCTAATCTCGCCCTTACGACTACTAAAAAGTTCAAACAAAATTAAACAATCCAAACCAAAAGAAAATTAGTTCAATGTCCAAAATAAAAGACAATACAACTGAAAATAAAAATAAACTACAAAACAGGTGCTCCTATTTCATTCTTCGGCCTTCTCCTCTCCTTCGATGTCGTCATCTTCTGTGTCGGAGCCCATCCATTCCTCTGAATCCCAGTCTGCCCATTGGAAGCTCGAAGTATCAATGTTGAGCTTGGAGAAACAGTTGTGCTGCATATCATACATCATCTGGGTATGCTCTGCCAGCCAACCTTGATGTCGTTCCATCCGTTTCATATTACCCAACATCTGCTACATCAGCTCCTTTATTATGGCTATGGAACTGGATGATGTGGTAGTGCCTTGTGTGGTTCTCTGTTGTTTTGTCCCGGATCTGGGTCCTTCACTGGGTGGACGCTTAAGATGCTTGTTGTAGTAGTTGGTGTCGAGGACTGGTGCATGATAAATAAGTGGTTCATCATCCGACTTCTCCACTCCCGCTCGGGTGCACAGCTTGGGGATAAGATGTGGGAAAAGGAAACTGCCTCGCCCTGGTTGGGCTGCATTTTGTATACTCGTCATGATAATCTTCCCCACATCTATTTTCTTTCTGGTGGCAATGGAGTAAAGCAGCAATGCCTTCTCAAAAGTTATTGAACTATAATGTGTCTCCAACATCATCCTTGCACACACAAAGTACTGCCACAACCTAGCCATAGGAATTAGATTAGTTCCCTTAATGCTCTTCTTTCCCTTCTTCAAAACCTCCCAAGGGGTATCCGATTTTGCTATGACCCTAGGTATCTCATCCTCTTCAAATTGTTTCTTCTTAAACTCTAGATACTCATCATGGTCAATTGAAGGCAAGTTGTAAAAATCATTGATGACCTTCACATCAAATGGCACATCAATACCCCTCACAAATACATGCCCAAGATCACACTCAAGGAGGTTGGCATAAAACTCTCTCACTATCGGCTCTATAGCTGCATGTGTAGGTTCACTCATAAATAACTCCTAATGTCTCCCTCGACTCCACTGTTCGTCCATGGTCAATCCACGCTCGGCAATAAACCCTTTATCCTTCCTTTTGATTGCTTCTTCATATCGTTGCCGAGCCTTATCACTCACAAATCTATTTTCCACTTTTTTTTTCCTTTTCCTTTACCCTTGGACGGTACTTTGAGCGGCATTTTTGGTTCGATAACTCCAATTTACCCCTAAACTAAGATACTAAATAGACAATTCAACTCTAACTGCCCTCGCTACCTACCACAATCAATCTTACAAAAACACCAAAATTTCAAAAAATTGCACCTAGACCCCCAAAATCACTCTTCTCCAAACTCAACAAACCACTCCCAAATCGAAAACCCAACCTCCTCAACACCACACAAATCAAGATCCACACGTCTCTACTCAAAATCAAGGCACAAACAACAATAAAAATCCACAATTCACGCAAATAATCAAAATCTCAGATTCAAAACTCTAATAATCAAAATTGATCAATTTAAAGTTTGGAGAACTCAAAATCTTACCAATCCCAAGATGTATTCACCACCAATTTAACCAAATTCGGCCTAGATCGCAAAATCCCCAAATTCATGAACCCAAGGGTTTCCAACAATTTTCTTCAATTTTTCGGAGAGATCCTTGTTAAAATGAGTTGTTTTGGTGTTTGTGAGGGTTAAGGAGCGAGGAAAAGTGATGGGAATTCACTGGAGAAGCTATGGAAAAGTTTTGCTCTCGGATATGTTTTGAAGTTTTCACAAAAATGAAGAGCCGCGACTCATTATTTATAAAAAGCAGTTTTCGTTGTGGCGAGTTCTTCAATTATGAACAAAAATGAACCCAATCGATGCGGCAAAAAATTCCAAAGCCTACAACGCTGCGGCGAAGAAAGTGCTTCGCGTCGGTGAAATTCCCTTAGTCAAATTTCAATAAACTCTTTCTGCCACGGTGAAGAAAATTGTTTCGCTGCAGCAAAAAATTACAGGTAGCACGTCGCCTCGGTGAAAAACGAACTTTGGCGCAGCAAAATCTGGAAGTTTTCGAATTCCATTTTGTGCAAAATGCATTTCGCAAATCTAGAAAATTTCCTTTTTGTTAGTAAACGGTCCCGTATACGCAGCGGAAACAAAAATTATAATATAACAGGATCGTTTACGTGAGCCAAGATCAAGGGTATGATTTTACAATTTATATTAAATAAAATCTGCAGAAATATTCAACATGAGTTAAGAGAAACAAACGCACGTTTGGAGGCTCCACCATGATTGTCTTTGAACGTTTTGCTACCGATCCAAGTGTAGGATCGAACCTGCATAGTCCACACGAAGACAATCTCAAAAGAACCAAAGAGGGATTTGCTAGATCCTCTTTGGCTTCAAGATTAAGAAGAAAAACAAATCAATTGAAATTGATTTTAGGCTAAGAGTGTTTCTGCCGTGGGAGTGAAAAGAGAGGGCTGCTNTGTTAAATCATCCCTGTTGTGCATTCATCATCTCTAACACCTGTCATACCATCAAAATACACCTAAAATTTTAAACCAGATTTGAATTCCTGCTTCTCCAAGCCATTACAGCAGTAGATGCCTCTAACCCTGCATGAAACATTAGCTTCAAAATCTTTCATCCGAACTATTGCAGCTGCATAAATCAAAAAGGTTTTAAAAGTAATATGGAGGTGTGCGTAACCCAAACCTATAGAGTTAGCAAAAGAGAGTGTTTTAATTTTATGGGCACATATGTAAATTTATCATTTAAAAAAACTGTCAGAACCGTTGGAAAATAAACTCCCAAGCACAGGTTAGGTATTTTAAAAACCGTTACTAAAAACCCCTCAAAACCGCTACGATGATTTACCCTCAAAACCGCTACGATGGTTTACCCTCATAACCGCTACCATAAAACTCTTAAGCAGGCCCTAAGGGAATGCGTTAACGACTTTTTCGCACCAAAATAATGATTTAATGATATTTTTTTATCATTTATATATTTTTAAAATATTATTTTAGTATCAAATTTATAATCTGGTAATGAACAGAGAATAAACACAGTCAAGATTGTTAGAATTTTTAAAAATAGGATATCAATGAGTCTTTTGGTGGTAAAATGTTGGATTTTAATTATTCGGATTGATCGAAATTTGACTTGAGAAGGGTGGTTACGCAAACCCTAATCACTTGATTGCCAGCTATTGATGGAGTCGGCGAAAGTAGGGTTTGAGAGGTTTTAGTGAGTGATGATCAAGAAAGAGAATAATGGTGGTGTGGGGTTACAACAATGTTGGAATTGAAAATGAAATATGAATTTGGGTAGTAAAGTGGTATTTTAAAAATATGTGGGTGGAAAAGTGTCATTAAACCATTATTTGGATGAAAAAAATAGTTTACTCTAAGGGAGTGGATGAAATAAGAAAAAAAAAATGGTCGAGTGGTTGGAAATAAACTCTTAGGTGTATTATTCAAGGGATTCCAGATTCGAATCTCTCTTCAGTTGCTAGTAAGGGTAGCCTCTGGGTCTTTATCCGACCAATAGTTCTAGGGTCTCGAGGGATTTTGTAGTTACATTTAATAGTTTTTTTCTAAATTTAAAATGTTTTTATTTATTTATTTCAGTCGATTTTATTAAAATAGGTTCTAACGTTAAGATGTGTTCAGAATTTAAAAAAAATTCAAATTAAGAAAATAGTAAAAATACTATTTAGAAAACTAAAATAAAAAAAAGGGAGAAAAACCAGCGCAGCCGGCATAGGCTTTTCCTTTTTCTTTATTACGACTTTATGTTTTTAATTTGCTTTTTAGTCTTTTAAATTTAAAAATAAAAAAATGATTGTTCTTTTTTAAGTTTTTGAATTTAAAATTCAAAGACTAAAACCAACTAAATAATTAAGGGTATTTAAGTCCTTTTGTTGTTTTCTATTAATGTTAACGACAAATCAGAATTAAGTATCATTAAATTGAACAAAATGAAACTCATCTCCCTTTTCATCATTTCCCAAATCGAAGAAACAAATTCAAAAACTCTAAATTCTTTACCTTCATAAACCTTATTTTAACGCTTTTTCCCTTTATGAACCTTACTTATTTTACAGCATATCTAAAACCCTAAAACAATTTGTCATTTTTTACAATCAAGGAAACAAATTCAAATTCGTTACTCTACATGTCGAAACAATTCATGTTTATTATTTTATTGTTATACGTATTGAAACAATTTGTATTTAGAGAAGAATAATTACTTAAAAAACGTTGATGTGGGGAGATTACTATCCTTTATTATTATTATTTGATATTGTAAATTTTTATATAACATGTTATTCCAAACGCTACAAAGGATATGTTTGTAGTAGTGAAAAGGTTGAGCGCTTTTGTTATTACTTTATTTTATGCAATTTTAACTGAAAAATATGCACACATCTTTTAAAGACTCTTTGTTTATGCAAAGAACTCTATTATTGTTAATACTAGCAAAAGATCTTATATATTATCTTCATTTATGTTCTTAATGTATTTTATTTTTACTAGACCCATCATCTAACCAATAACGTCGTATAGTATCACCACGAACTTGTGTCACCAAGTCCTTATATTCGGCATCTTGATCGGCAGCCATTCGCAACCTATCTAACATGTCAGATTCCACCCGAGTTATTGCATATAGAACAACAACCACATGTTTCCTGCTCAAAGCATCAACAACTTGATTGTGCCTTCCTAGCTTGTGTTGCCATGCAAAATCATACTTAACCAAAAGTTCTTGCCACCGAGCCTGTTTTGGGGATAACTTCTTTTGTGTCTTGAAGAAAATATTGGCCACATTGTCTGTCAACACTACAAATTTCGTGCCCAGCAAGTACACTCTCCACACTTGCAAACAATGCACAACAGCCACCATCTCTTTCTCATGTGCAGAATATCATTGCTCTGCCCCGTTTAACTTTCGACTCTAAAAAGCTATGGGATGTCCCTCTTGTACCAACACCCCACCAATGGCTTTCTCCGAAGCATCCGCATGCACTTCGAAAGGTAACTCAAAATTTGGCAATCTCAACATCGGTTCTAATGCAATGGCTTCCTTCAACTTTTCGAAAGCCTTGGAACATGATTCTGTCCACCCCCACTGTTGCCCCTTTTTCAACAAGTCTGTCAACGGTGCAGCCTTCTTTGAGTACCCCGTAATAAACTTGCGGTAATAGTTTGTCAAACCCAAGAAAGATCTCAACTCAGGAACTTTTGTAGGAGCTGACCATTCCATAATCGCATGCACCTTCTTTGGATCCATCCTCACTTGGCCCTTACTCACCAAGTGCCCCAAGAACATGATTTCCTGTTTAACAAACTCACATTTTTCCATCTTTACATATAGTTGATGTTCTCTCAATCGCATTAGTTCCCTTCTCAAATGAATTAAATGCTCATCCAAATTCTGACTATAGATCACAATATCATCCAAGTATACAACCACAAATTCATCCAAGAACTCATATAGTACATCATTTATCAAATTGCAAAATGTAGCTGGTGCATTTGTCAAGCCAAACGGCATGACTAAGAATTCATAAGAACCATACCTAGTCACACAAGTGGTCTTAGGCTCATCTCCTGCAGTAATTCTGACTTGCCAATATCTCGACCGCAAGTCCAACTTAGTGAAAATCAAAGCCCCACTCAACCTATCCAGGAGATCTTGAACAAGGGGAACATGATACTTGTTCTGAATTATAACTTTGTTCAACGCCCTATAGTCTACACACATTCGAAGGGAACCATCTTGCTTTTTCTGAAACAATACAAGAGCACCATAAGAAGCCTTGGAAGGTCTCACTGCACCTGCATCAAGTAATTCATCAAGCTATTTTCAGAGTTCTTTCAACTCCATGGGAGACATTCTATATGGTGGACGAGCAGGTGGAAACGCCCCTGGTTCCAACTCAATCTTGTGATCAATTGCTTGCCTTGGAGGAAGTTCTTTGGGCAACTCCCGTGGCATAACATCAGCAAAATCTTGTAATAACTCTGCCACAGCATCCGGCACTTCAACCTTCTTATCAGGCTTTATCTCTATCATTTCTGCCAAATACGTTTCCTGCTCTTTCTTCATCCCACGCTTCACTGCCGTGGCTGAGATAGTAGTAAGCTTAGCTTGTCCTAGTTTGCTACTCACCCCTGATGAACAACAAGATACAAAACAAGGACTTGATTCATGATTTATCATCATGCCACCCAAGTAAGGTATCACCGACACCTTTGCTGCCTTAAAAAACTCTATCCCTAAAATAATATCAAAATCATCTAAAGGAACAACAGTCAAGTTGATCTTACCCGTCCAACAGCCCACACATACCTGCACATTGTAAGCTATTCCAGTCACCCCGCGTGTACTAGAGTTCACAACCTTCATCGTCGTAAGACTCTTGGAAAGTGCTAGCCCTAACTTTGAGACAACTCTATCTGCCACAAAATTATAAGTTGCTCCCGTATCTAGCAAGGCTTTAACTTGACTGTCTCTCACTTTCAAATCAACAAACAGTAGAGCATTTTGAGCGGCACCTTTACTCACCACTCTAAGGTAAGTATCACCCTTCTTCTTCTTTGAATCTGTTTCTACCCTCATAGCATTCATTAATTGCATCAGATTCATAGTGATCTACTCACCACTAGACTCTCCCTCTTTACCCATCAAAGCATTAAGCTTTTCTCTCTTTGGGCAATCTTTTGCCCTATGTGGTCCTCCACAAATGAAACAACCGGACATCATTTTACTCTTTTTGTTTTCCTTGGAGAAATTACTACCAGCAACTACTTTCCCCTTTTCACTAGTAGAATTTCTCTTTTGAAAGTGGAAGTCTTTCTTCTTGCTTCCCTTGATTTCCTAGTGTTCCTTCTTCTTTGCTTTTGTTGCAACAACAGGTTCTCTCTCCTCGCTACTTTTGAAGTCTACCAACCCATCCGTTGCAGCAATAGCACTAGGCAAATCCTACACTTTTTGCCTTCGTAATTCAACTTGCTCCCAGCCTTGCAAACCTGACATAAAGTTAAACAACTTGTCCTCCTCGGACATATTTTGAATGTCTAACAACAAGGAACTAAACTCCTTTACATACTCCCTCACAGTACCCTTTTGCTGGAGCCTTTTCATCCAGTCCCTAACATTCCATGATGTATTTCCCGTAAGAATTGACCCTTCAATTCCTGGGTCTACCCACACTCACATCATCTGCCAATCTTGTGTGCCACCATAATTTAGCATCACCAGCCAAATACATACTTGTTATTGAGACCTTCTCTCCAGTAGGGACTTTTGCGGCCTCAAAATACTGCTCCATATCCTACAAGAAATTTTCTAACTCCTTGGCATTTCTAGCACCCTGAAAAGCCTTTGGTTTGGGTACTCTTATCTTGGCAGTACTTCCCCTATCAAGACTACGAGGGAGAGCATGCTTCAGCAAGGCATTGCCATTCTCTAGGGCCTTCAGTCTTTTGTTAGTCATGTCCACCATTTCCATAAATTGCTTATGGAGAATTTCGAAACTTTGATCAGTCTGATCTAGTCTCTCATTGATGGTCGCAGCCTAGCCATCCTGAATTTCACCTAGCATCTCCTCTAACTGAGTCACTCTTTCCCTTGAAGCATCTATCTTAACTTTTCTTGGCATGAAATAACAATAAGGAAAATATAAGAACGAACCTGGTTACAACCAGGCTCTAATACCACTGTCATAGGGCCTAAACTCGCTTCTAGGCACTACACGGCACAAGCACACCAAGCACTTGTCAACCTTCCTCAAGTTGTGCATATCCCTGTTACAAATTGCAAACACAATACAAGAGAAGCTAATGAGAGTATATTGCACAACATATACGGGAAAACCCAACCTTATATTATATAATTCCAAATACAAGAAAACTCATGCACCCACACATTGTTTCCCACTATTTATAATTTGATCCCAATCATAGATTCAGCACCCAAGTTACAACAATGTATATACACACATATATCCCTTGCCCTCTCTCACTCTCTCTCGAATTTACAACTTGCTTGCCTTTTATACATGTTGGCATAGCAGTTACAAAGGTTACAACAGTAGTTACAACTCTATCTAGCAGTTACATAGCAGTTGACTTACATACAAGTCTATCTAGACAAATATAACCGTCTCATAGCCTTTGTCCAGCAACCATTCAGCCTTGTCTGATCATTCCATCATCTAGTGCACAACCACATGCACCCCAAGCACATTGCTCTCTATCGCTTAGCCTGCCCATGGGCGCCCCACACCCATGTTAATACATGCATGTGCGCTCATGTTCTAGCTTGCAAGTGCCCACACCCGCTAGCCATCTCATCAATGAGTACTTGGCGTCCCAACGTTCAAACACCCATACCTGATATCGCCCATCCTTGTTTAGCATACACCTGTGTGTTGTCTTGGCAAGGCTGTGGCCAAGGATGAAAGCCACACGCCTACCCTTGCCCTTGGCATCCTTAAGGGTCTTACAAACCACCCCCACTAGAAGAGCCCGAAGTCCTCATTGGAATGGTGGAAATGTACTCCTATACAATGTTCTCAAACTGTGCCACAAATCTATATCTCTTTCCCACGAAACCTCACTTTCTTTCCCCATTTTCCACTTCACTAAATACTCAATTCGGCGATTCTTCTTATGCTGTCCCATCCTCCGATGATCTAATATCTTCTCAATCTCATCATCAAACTGTTTTCTGATCATGGGAGGAGCTCTCTTAGCTTGGGTCCTTAAAGAGTCCTTTTTGTCCGCATGGAATGGTTTCAAGAAGCTCACATGAAATGTGGGATGTACCTTAATCTGTTCAGGCAGTTTCAACCTATAAGCAACAACACCTACTTCGCTTACAACCTCAAACGGTCTATCATACTTTGGAACCAATGCCTTATACTTTGGAACATGTGAAAACGTTGATGTGGGGAGATTACTATCCTTTATTATTATTATTATTATTATGATTTGATATTGTAAATTTTTATATAACATGTTATGTTGGAAAATAAACTTTTTAAATGATTGAAGGATTTGAAAAGCAAAATTATTCCAAACACTACAAAGGATATGTTTGAAGTGGTGAAAAGGTTGAGACCTTTTGTTATTACTTTATTTTATGCAATTTTATCTGAAAAATATGCATACATCTTTTAAAAACTCTTTATTTATGCAAAGAACTCTATTATTGTTAATACTAGCAAAAGATCTCATATATTATCTTCATTTATGTTCTTAATGTATTTTATTTTTTACTAGCTCTTTTAGATGATGTTAGAAGATGTATGGGTGTAATTGTGTGTGGGATAAGAGGAGAGCCTTGACCATAATTTTGACCAATCATTATGTTGATTGGTTTCATATAGGTCGACTATTATAGTTTTTCACATGCATAAACTCCATAACCAATCTTTTGGCACCATCTCTGAGGTAAGATCTTTCAAAATAAAAATATGTTAAAAACACTATTCTAATTTCTAAATACTCTACCAAACACACCCAAAGAGTGTGTTTGGTAAAATATTTAGAATAGTATTTTTGAAAAAGTTGTGTTAGGTTGGTATTACGAGAATAGGATTTAAAAATGAAAATTTGTTTGGTAAATTTTTGGAAAATACATTATGAAAATATTTAGATTATTTTTTAATCTCCTACATTTATTAATTTAGTTAAACACCTCTTACAATAAAAGTTTTAAAATTAACAAAAATACACCTCCAACCACCCCTTAAATGCTGACAGTTGACCACCATCGCAAGACGGTGGTTGGAAGTCGCCGAAATGGCGCACGACCGACTGGATCTGACCGATAGTGTGCCAATTTGGCATTTTCCAACCAAATCTATGGCCAAAGATTTGACCATTGACGGCTAGATCTAGCCAAATATGGCCATTAAAAAAGGTCATATCTTGGCCGTCGTTGACAACCAAATCTGGCCGTCAACGACCAGATCTTTAGCCATAGATCTGGTCTTTTCTGGCCAGATCCATGGTGGATTTGGCTAGAAAAGGCCACATCGATGCACATCGGCCACATCCAATCGGTCCTGCGCCTTTCTGGAAGATTTTGACCACCTTCCGGCAGTGGTGGTCGGCTGTTAGGAATATGTGGGTGGGTGGGTGGGGGTGATTTTGTCAATTTATAAACTTTTATTGTTTGGGGTGTTTAGTTAAATTAACAAACCTATGGGGTTGAAAAAATATAAATATTTTGAATTGAATAGAATATGATTGAATTTTGAGAATATTAAAACAAATATGTATTTTGAATATGATTGGATATGATAAGATTGAAAATAGGTTAACAAACACAACCTCTATATTTACTTTTGTATAAATGTTTCTCACTCTTTAATTTACTAACATAAATAATTATATTTTACCAATTTGTGATTTTCTTTTTACATCATTTGTATACGAATCAAGATAAGCGGTTTGATTTTTTTATCGGTAATTCACATATTTTTAATTTGTTTTTATTTTAAAGAGTATTATCCCACACCTCTCCTAATGTTTCAATTTAAGTTACTCACACCCTCAGGCGCATTTGGTTCATGAAATGTTATATTAATGGAAAGATAATTTACCTTGAAGATTATTGGAAATATTTAGAGAAATGTGTTTGGTTAGGTTGAAATAAATTGGTGAGTATGTTATATTGATAGATTTGATTGGGAGGATAAACTAGTGGGTTTGTTATATTGATAGATTTGATTGGGAGGATAAACTAGTGGGTTTGTTATATAGATTATTAAATTGCCCTCCTATTTAAATATTAATATAATATAATATTTATTATCATCATTTAATCCCCTACATTTGAAATTTTGCTAAAATACCCCACCATATAAAACTTTAATTTGTTACCAAATCACCCTCACCCATCCCAAGCTACTACCACTAGCTGCCATCGACAGTCACCGTAATGGGGCACGACCGGTCAGGTCTGGCCAATCGTGCACCGGAAAAGCCTTCTGATAACTGCGGACGACGGTCGACAATGGTGGCTGGCAATAATCTTGGGTGGCTCGACTGGTAGTTGGGCTGGCTGTGGTCTTGGGTAATTTGGTTGAAGTACAAGGGTAGTTATGTCTTAAAAATCCTAAATATGAGGTTAAAATTGTCCATAAATTTATTGTAAATTGTTTAAATAACAAGGGTTATCGTCCTAAAATTTTATTAATAAGGAGTAAAATTGTAACAAAATTAAGATTATTAAATAATCTTAAAATACCTAAGAAAATGGAAGTAATCAGATTACCTAATAAATAATTAGTGAAAAACAAGATTAATATGAATGAAATAATTTTGAAAGATTATCGTAATTTTATATTACTTGATAACCAAATGTGGTAATCAAATAATATAAGATGACATTACCTGATAAATAAGGAGTTACCCCTAACCAAGCGCACCCCACAAGTATAAAAAATTACATAACCACCCTTCACATTTGTGGAGTTGTCAAATACCTCCCCTTATTGGATTAGTTGATAGAATTCTTTATCTGGTGTATTTTTTGTCCCATATGAGATCGGTTAATATCCAATTCACCCACTTTATTTTGAATATGAAAAACACCTCGGTGTTAGTGATACCATTCAATTTAAAATTAAAAGTCTATTCCACCCCCTCACCTCACGTCACTTACCAACTTAACAAAATTCTTAAATCTTTCACTTAATAAATATCCAAATCCACAAAGTCAACCTTTAACTTACAATTATATTATCATAAACAAGGTATACATTTAGTTGATTTTTAGATAAAAGAAAACATATGATAATTGTGTTTTTAAAGTGATAAAGTAACTAAATAGTTAGTGAAAAACAAGATTAATATGAATGAAATAATATAAACTAACACTAAGGGGTTAGTCTGGTGGTCAAGGAGATTTTCTTCTTTCATTGACTTCTTGGGTTCAAACCACTTTGAGACCACTTACTACATATTTGTGGCTTACCTTAGAATATTGAACTTGTATGGTGTTTAATTAGTCTCAGGAATTAGTTGAGGCGTGCGCAAGTTGGCTCGGACATCCTAGTCATAAAAAAAAAAAAAAAAAACTTGATTAAATAAATAAGAGACGTTGAAATATTGGTTTATCAACTTTAGAAATAATTACATTTTAGTCAAAACATTACAAGTTTTACTTGTTATTAAAACTAGTCATTTAGAAAGAAAAAATAATTAGATAGTTTGCTGTAATTATTTAAGACAAATTTTATTGTAATAGAATGTTTTGAAATTTGTATTATGAGATTAACAAAAGCTAGATCAAAATAACGGTGTTTTAGCAAAACTAAGTTTTATTGTTAATTGATAATTTAAATAAAATTATTTTTCAAATGATTTATTAAAATAATGGGAAACAAAAAAAAAATATATTTTTTTAGTTGGTAAGTCATTGAAGGTGTAAAGTTAACTTTTAATTTGAAAATTGGATGAAACTTTAACATATCACTAGTAACAGGGATAGTTTAACATATTTGGATCGAAGTTAATGAGTTGGATATTATTTGATCTCAAGGGGGGTAAATAAAATACACTAGATGACAAAATATGTCAACGGCTAAAATGGGAGGTATGAGATAATTCTTCAAATGTGAGGGGAGGTCAAGGTAGTTTTTCATATTTTTGGGGTGGGAATAAACCTAAAACCTCAGGGTCGGTGTGGGATAATACTCCTTATTTTAACTAGTTTAACCTTAAATCAAATTACTAAGGACATTATAGGTTCTGACCCCAATTCTATTTTATATTTTTCCTTTTATTTAGTATTTCTTCGAATTTCTAAAACTCATAATTTATCCTTTTAAATTGCTTAAAAAAAAAAAAATTCACTTTTGACTTCTTCATTAGACTTAAACTTTTTAGTTAAATCCAAATACGATTTCTATTTTCCATGTCTTTCTTTTTTCTTTACAATGATACACTAAATATGTTTTGTTAAGAGACCAAACGCTTACCGCAAAGCCAAAAGTTATAGCTGCAATGAGCACAATATGAAATGCTCGTATACAACTTAAATTTGCTAGCTTGTAGAATAAATCAAATCTTTCACAAAATTACAATATAAAATAATAAATGTAAATGTAAATATTTTATAGATTAATATGAAAATAGAGATATGAAAAAGAAAATAATAAAAAAATCTACACATTTTACTTTACGAGTTGAGAGAAATAATAAAGTATATAAAAAAAATTAAAAATAAAATAATAAATAAGTTATTATTTTTTTTTCTTTTCAAAATATAGTTTTTTTAATATCTTTTTTCATTAATGTTTCATACCAATTTGTGAATAATTGTTTATGATAACAATTTTCAAGAATGTTATAAGCAAAATCACATTAAATAAGTTGATAGAGAGTGTGGTGTGAATAATTGGTGTAATTGGCATCGGTACGAGTTCACACCACCACTATTGTATTTCTCAACCATCACTCATCAAAACCCTTAAAATCTTGCTTCTGTTGACCCCATCAATTGCCAACAATCAAGCGATTTGTGAAACGCGTAGCTGCCCCACCCAAGTTAGATTTCGACCAATCCCGACTATCAAAATCCAACCTGCCACCACCAAGAGACTCACTGACATCCCCTCTTCAAAATCCCTAATAGTCTGGACCGAGTTTGCTTTCTGTTTGCCTCCAAATCGGATAGTGTATCATGGGTTGTAAACAAAATATAAACTTTGGCTAGTTAATTGGTATTTTGAAACTTTTTTGGTGGGAAAGTGTCATTAGGGCAAACCTTAGGTGGGAAAAAAGTCGCCTGTTCCATAAATTTTGCATGAAAGTATATATTTCCTCATACCCAAAATATTATTCATTAAAGCTATCATATGTCGATGACAAACTGATCATAAACAGATGATACTTGTTGATGTGTGATTTTAACACTAACGACCTCGCACGTGTAGAGTGTTAAGAGAGTCTTAGAAATTACAGGTAAACTATGATGAGAGGTTGATTAGGGATTACTGTTTTCACAGTTGCATGCAAGAACTTAAAAGTAAATGAGACGATGAGAGTTTTATAGTGGTTCGGAGGCCTAAAACGAATCCTGCATCCACTGTTTTCTTCTGTATGAGTGTTTTTGGTGATTAACCAAGATTACAAGAGGTCGCGAATTATGAACTGGGTTACAAGTGATTGGTATTCTTAGAGAATATTAAGCTAGTCTCTTTTCTATAGTGTGTTTTTGCTAATTGCTTTGTTGAATTCAGAGTGTCTCATCCCGATTTAATGAGAGGGAGCTGTCTATTCATACCCACTGAACTCAAGGTAATGATTACATATCTGCAAGTGGGTTGGTGCTGTGCAAATCCCTCATGGCATCCCATTGGCTGATAACGTAGGAAATTTCCTTAAGTTAAATGGGGCTTGGACAGGTGTGCGAATCAAATTCATTCGCAAACAAAAATTGAGTCGATTGGGTTGTTACCAGCTATATTCTTTCTGTCTTGGGTGACGTGGCAAACTCTAGATGGTACAAAACCTTCATGAATTCTGATTAGTACTCGTTGACATTGAGTTATGTGAGCCCTGGTTTTTTAGGCATAACAATACCAAAGATAAATTTCGAAACAAATTAAAAAGATTTGAGATTAAATTTTCTTTAACTTCTTTAAGGTTACAATTCTGAAAAGCACTGCAATCATCTTAATTAAAATCTTTAAATCCCTTATAGCCTGCTAGAACAAAAAATTAAAAATGACCTCTTTATGAATTCAATGGTAGTAACATTAAACCATGATATCTATCACACCATCAGCAAAAGCAGAGGCCACAAAACCATCAGAATAACAACTGATGATGATCCAAAAATGGCTGCACCAGGTGCTGCTCCCGATGCAGACCCCTCTTTAGCGTCGTCCCGAGACGGTGGACTGTTGTCAGTTGGAGCACCCGGTTCCGGTGGCGATGAGTCCATTGGTGAAGGAGTAGGAGCATCAGAAGGTGACATTTCTTCGGAAGGCGCATCCGAAGGCGATTCGTCATGGACAGGTGCTTCGGCCCCATGCTTTGGTGCCGGAGCCTTTTTCGGAGATCTCATAGGCGCATACGAAGGCGCCGTTGAATTTGAAGAGCCTATTACACTGCTTACTTGCAGTACTGACACATTATAAGGTTGAGAAGCTACTGACTTAATTAAATTGGAGTTGAGAGTGGAGTCCGGAGCAGCCGGACCGAATGCGACATCACCAGAGCTCAAAACTGTGGCGTTTATGAATCCTTGTTTCTGCCCACTGGCTTCGCCGCTGGCCTGGAAAAGTGTGGTGAGTATGGTGGATTTATTGTTTAACCTTTCGAGCTTTTTCGTGTCGTAATAATCGAGAACCACGTGGAGGCTCAAGGTGTTCTTGGCATCGTCCTCTGACAAGCCGGAGAGGTAGGAGACGGCGCCATTGTCGACGGCGAGGACGGTGATAGTCTCGCGCTTGTTGATTTGGTCTGCGAGTTTGGTTTTGGATAAGAGGTCATTGAAGGAGGAGAATTCAGAGTGGTCTTCGAGAATTTTTGTGATGTTGAAAGCATGGGAGGCTGAAATGAAGAGAAAAAAGAGAAGAACAATGGTTGATGTTGAGGAAGAGGAAGCCATGTTTGAGTTTGAAGAATAATGGTGGAGTGAGGGAGGGAGGGAATGAATAATTTTATTTGGAAATGGGTGGATTCAAATGGAGGTGTGATCCGCCAAAGTTGGAGTGCATTTTAGCTTTGTGTTTTGTTTGGTTAAAATTTAGAGAGAGGATGGTGGTGTTTACTCGCCTAATGCTAGGCAAATTTTTTAGGGTTTCATTTGGTTATAATGGTAAGGTTCGCAAATTATATAAGTTGACTTCATATAATAGATTATGTCATTTAATTTTCTTCTTATGTATTTTAAATATCATATAATATAATAAAGTGAGAAAGTCTATCGACACTAAAGCAATGTTATGAAAACCAGAGCGAGCCTTGACTTGATCAAGGGCTTGATACTCGGGTTGACGAGTCTGACCAATCAGACCGATCGATTGGACAGGTGATGTCAGAAACAAACACACCCCTATAAAATTACAAATTAGTCTCTAAATTTTCAAATATTGCAAAAACCCATAAAATTCAATCAGTCCCTAAATTTTGAAATCCTGCAAAAACACCCCTAAAATTAACAATTATTCCCTACAGGTTTGAAATATAGTAAAAAAACCCCCTACAATTTAAACTAGACCGGAGAGAATGCCAGTTCTTGATCGAACCGGTCGAATTGGTTGGTTCGGTCTGGTTTTTAGAACATTGACACTAAGTGGTATTATTGACACAATATCACAAGTTGATGATTGCATATGAAGTAATTATTGCATTTAATCACTCCAATCATAATAATCTAAACCTAAATTTGAGATGTGGATGATGTGATACCAAGTAGTATTCTAGATTCTTTTTTTTTTTTTTTTTTTTTTTAATTAATTTCCTCAAATGTGAATATCTAGAAAATAATATTTTTGTGACAATAATTTTATGTATATAATGTTAGGATTCCAAATGACAATGTGACTTTTATATGTTGATATTACGCATATTAAATTAATTATATAAAAGTAATATATTCATCCCATCGTCCTATAATTTAATAATAATAATATTACCAAGAATCTCAATTTTGAAAGCGTAGTATTTATTTATATTTTATGATAAATTCAAACCTATCTCATTTAATTTTATAATTTTATCACCATTAAAATGCATGCTCTCTTATTTGTCCTGTATACAACGTGTACGTGATTCATGAGAGGCTTTTCCTTCTATTTAGAGTGCATATAATATTATATACATTTTTTTTTAGATAATCGAGGGTGTTCAAATCAGTTTATGTACACTTCAACTAATCCCTTAAGACCTTAGAATTACCTGTCGGGTAAGAGCTTTAGTGGCTAGCTCTATTAGTAGTCGAGGAGAAACTCAAACTCAGGACCTCTTAAGTAATACAGCCAAGAGTCTCTATCAAACCACTCAGTCACCGACAGATAGTTATATTATACACTTTATCATGCTGAAACTTGGATTGAACCTCCACTTGAAGCTATCAAAATTTCTTCTCAACTCTCATTTTTCAATTTTTAAACTCAAATTTATGTAATTCTCATATTAATTATGATTTATAAACTAAAGAAATTGAGGGTATTGATCAATAAAAAAAATGGGTACATAATTCTCTTAATAAATTATTATGATACATAGATACCAGTGCTTGTGATTAATAAACAAATAAAAAATTAGTAAAACACTTCAAAATAAATTTATGAACTTAAATATAAAGAATCGAGATCGGTTACTCCTTATTAGAAAAAGATTTACAAGCAATTTGGGAACAAATAATAAAGAAACTATATATTATACATGCATTATAGGACTTCTATAAAACCCTAATTCTCTCCCACCAATTATAATAAACGATTTTTATAAATTGAATCTTATAGCTTGTGTTAATTTTCACTAGTCTTCTTTCATCCACAATGGAATTGTAATTTGTAATACAATTATACGAAAACTTAATTGTATTAACTTGTTAAGTCATTAAAAACTTCCAAACTTATATATATACACGAACCTCGACCATAACCCGAACATATCTCACCTTTCTCCGGCTTTTCAACCAACCCAACAGCAGCACCTATAGAATTCACTGCAGTTATTGCAATTGATTCCATGGTACTAGGGACAACTCCAAACCCATAGCCCGAGCCCAAACTCGAGCGATAACTCGAACCAGTGTCACTACCACTTTTGTTTTTAGCCATTGTATGGTATCATTGGTATGTTATGAAATGAGATTAAGTGATTGAATCTGAATTTATAGGGAAGGCTTAGCCCTTTTTTAATATTCTATAGTTAGGTATATACTTTTAGAAAGATGAAGTTATGAAATTATGGATATAGATTTTGTTTGACCCGTTTGGGCAAAAGGGACCGTGGCTTGCCCCCCATTAATTTTTTTTATTTATAGATGTTTTCATTTTTTAAATATTAGTTACCCTAATCTTTACAAAATTATTATTCAAATATAGAATTTTCTTTTTTAATCACATTTCACCCTTAATATTTTAAGAAATCACAAAACTTCCCCTAAATCCTAATGTCGTTTTCTTAAAGTTAATGTTTTAGGGTTTAAAGACGATATCATCCTTAATTAGATAATTTATTTATTTAATAAAATTATGATACTTAGTTTGATTTAACTGATCGTTTCAAGTATAGTATACTTACACTTGATGATAACCTCCCATGACTTATCAAAATTTGTTTCAAAAAATTTTATAAAAACATTTTTTAGTTTTTACTAATAAAATCACTGTTATTTTTTCATATTTTGGATATTCATCAATATTTGTCTATAATTTTTTCCCATATATGATATAACACGCTCACTTTAACTTTTTTTAAAAAATAAAATACAATATTTGGATAAATTACGTTGCTAGATTTTTCTTTTTTTAAATTAAATTATTCTCTAAATTATGTTAGAAATTAAATATCAAAATTTCTTTAAGCTAACAAATAAATTAAATAATTATATTTGATTAAAACTAAGATATAAAATATATTAATTTTAAAAAAGGAATAGTAAATGTATAAAAGAGTTATTTTAATTTTCTAAAAATAAGAAATGAAAAAAAAATAAAATTAATCCAGTGCTAGAGTCAACTGGACTCTGGCGACTCAAGCACTAGAGTGGTTTTCCGTAGCTGCTAGAATAAAGAGGGTAAAAGTGGAAAGAAATTGAACAAATGATCTTATCTACTAATCCAATAAAAACAAAGTAATTATTTCTTGTCTTAAATTCAACTTAATTTATTCTTGCTCTCATATATACACTTTTCACATTCTATTCTCAAAGTCAATGACAGACTAAGAAAGCTTGTGGTACATAGCTTTTAATTTCCTCAAATATGAAAAGCGAAAACTGTTCTTTTTTTTTTTTTCATAGTAGTCAAACCTCTTACCTCTAGGGTGTTCAAAAGCGGTTAACCAAACCGGTTAACCGCTTTTCTAAACCAACCGGATTTCGGTTCGGAAAAATTCCCGAACGAAACCAAACCGGTTTTAGGGAAAACTGGTTTTGAATCGGTTTTCCCTTTTTTTTTTTAAAACTTTTTTTTTTAATTTTGTCCTAAATTAAATTGTAAATATAGACAATACATTGGAAATAAGAAAAAAATTTGGGTTGGGATTTTAGATTGAGTGAATTAGGGATTTATTTTAGTTTATGTTATTATTTATTTATTTAATATAATATAATATATATATTTGAAAAACCGGTTTAGAAAACCGGTTTTCGGTTAAACGTTTCTAATTTTGCCCGAACCGGTAACCAAACCGAAAATTCGGTTTTTTGAATTTTTCGAACCGTAACCGAACCGTTTTTTTGGTTAACCGGTTTTTCGGTTCGGTTAGCGGTTCGGTTCGGTTTTTGCATTTTTTTGAACACCCCTACTTACCTCAATAGAAAAATATTATATAAATTTAATATAATGACTAAATTTTTTTTTTTTTTTGGTAACGTGGTGTCAAGGGCTCGGGCTAACTTCCTCGCACCTCAATTAATTTCTGGGTCCATTGTATACCTTACAAACCTAAAAGACTAAATAAACCATAATATTATTGTAGTAGATAACTCAAAGATTTGAACTTAAGAACTTAAGGAAGGAAGCACACATTCTTCATTGTTAGGCCAACTCCTTGGGGTTTATATAATGACTACTTTTGTCCTCAATTTCTTTATATAATCTAAATGTGTAAATAAAAAAAAAAAAATTTGCACTTTCATAAGAGGCTAACAGTTGGTAAGTGTATTGATTGAACTAAATAATTGGTGGGATATCATGAGAATTCTAGAGTGATGTAAACTTGTTGGGAACAATTCACTTCTTACAGGGACCTGTTAACCGAAGCTTAAGCTTATATGTCCTATTAATGGAATTAGAATCCTCTATTGATTTAAGTAGATTATCAGGTCTAATCTCTAATCTCAAATCAACAAATAATATTATAAATAAAATAGTTTTATGAATAAAGGTTATTAAAACTTAAATATTTAATAATTTTTTTCTCAAACTTGTAATTATATATATATAATCATTTAGATGTCATTTTTAGGAAAAAAAAAAAAAAAGAAAAAAAAGAAAGAAAGAAAAGGCATAATATCAAGCCTAAAGTTAGGGGAGGATTTACCCCTATTTTCATTGTTCCATTAAATTATTAATTTATGCCTTCTTGTCAACTATTCCATTTGGGTTTTGTTGTTTAATTCAACTGATCAAGGGCAAAATGTGTTAATCAGATTTCGGAAATTTTAACAAAACAATAAGAATAAAAGATAAATTATTATTTGAAAAATACTTGAAGGGGAATTTTTTAAATTTATACATTTATTATTAGGTTTCGAAATATGAAATGCTTTTCATATTAGAGTAAATTTATGCTACGGTAGTTTAATTATTTAACATATATCAGCGAAGGGATAAAGTTAAAACTCCAATAATTTAATCGTTTATCTAAAAAGTCTTGACTTAAATCTTAATGTATGATTTTTTTTTTTTGCAGTGTTTTAAATCCCAACCTATGGTGAGACCTGACAAACCGAGTTGGAGTCTCGAGTTGACTAGCTTAACCGGTTTGACCAGCGAGTCAAACCGGCGTCTAAAAGTTTGAAATCTAACAAAAATGCCTGTAAAAATTTTGTAAGTCTCTATAGGTTTGAAATCTTACAAAAACACCCCAAACACCACCGTCGATGTTTTCAAATAGGGCCTATTTCCGGCGATGACAACACTCCCCATCACTATGAAAACACTCCCTTCAACCTCTTGACCAAAACCCATCTCACTCCTTCCTCGTTCGCCTCCCCAATCGTCAGCAATAGCAGGCTTTTTTCGACAACATAGTTTTGTGATTTTCGGTTGATTTACTCATCAGGAATCACCATTGTCGCAACCAATGCACTCACTGGCTATTCCTCTTCAAAAGCCCTAACATTTAGGCATGACAATGGGGATCTCATTCACCGTACCCATCCCCACCCTCAAAATCACTCCCCACCCCCGCTCCATCCCTGCTATAAGGATGACAGGAATTCCCCTTCCCCGCCCTAAAGGGAAATGTTGGAGGCTCGTCACTGCCCCGTTAATTTTACATAAATATAAATTAATTTGAGCATTATCAAACACAATAGTTAATTCTCGTTCACATGACAAACACTTAAATTAATCGTTTAAACATAGTTAATTTTACATAAATATGGGTTAGGGTTTGTTCTTGTTCAATTGTTTAGGGTGAGGGAAATTGGGAAAATATGAGTTTATATATATACAATGTTCTGAAATCCGGACCGGACGATCCGGTCGGACCGGTTTGACCGGTAATCGATGGCATATCCAGTCTGGTATCTTTAAAAAACTGTTAATTTCAAACCGGATTGGATCGCAGTTGGACCGCCGGAATAGTGCCGAATCGGGGTCTAATCGTAGCTTAATCCCGCCGGATTCTGGCATCGTTCGAGGGAGAAAACACCACCATTAGACTTGACGGCATCTCCACGACAAAACCCAGCCATTTTCAATCGCCTTCGTCGCTCGTCGTCCACCTAAAGTTTACGCGACCGTCGGACTTCTTTTGTTGATTCCGGCGTTCCGGCGTCGATGGAACTCCCTAGCACCACCATCAGATTCGTCGGCAACTATACATCAAAAGCCCCATGATTCCAAACCTCGATTGACCGTCGATCGTCATTGCCGCCACTATCACCAGTCTCTTCGCGTGACAAGGGTGTTTTGGACATATTTCAAACCTTAAGGGAGTATTATATGGGTGTTTTTGATGAATTTCGAACATTCAGGGACTAAAATTTTTTTATAGAATACGGTCCAATCGACTGATCCAACCAGTCAAACCAGAAACCAGACCCTTGAATGGGTCATAGTCCGATTCGTTTTTCAGAACATTGTATATATATATAATTTTAATTTTATATATTATATACGGGGCGGGGCGGGGCAGGGCATGTCGGGGCAAGGAGAATGCATCACCCACCCCCACCCCATCCTCAAGGACGGGGATTAAAACGCCCCCCACCCTTGCACCATATGGGATGGGGCGGGACGAGTCCTCGGAATTCCGGGGAACATTGCCATGCTTATTAACATTCCAACTTTCAATTATTCACAGATTAATGTCCTAATTTCTAGGGTTTTCAATGATAGGAAAATTTGTAATCAGACTTGGTGAAGGATCCAGGTCCTAGTTAAACCGGTTTGATCGACTGAGCTGGGTTAGGTTTTAAAACACTGTTTTTTTGAATAATTTTAAATACTATAAGGTAGGAGTGTTGAGACGAGCTCGAGCTCGAGTGGCTTAAGTGCCCATTCGAGGCGAGCCCAAGCCACCCAATATTGGCTTGAGAGGCCTGCGAGCCTCCACGAGCTCAAAAGGGCATAGATGCAAGGTTTTCAATTATGAGGGGGATATACATCATTTACCATTTTACATATAAACTATTTCAATTCAAGAAACCTTAACTTCTTATTCTTTATCTGCCTGCCACTTCTCCTTCTCTATTCTTCTTCCCTTTCTTTTTTCTTCTGCTTCTCTCTTTTTCTCCTTTTTCTCTATCTCTCCTCTTCGAGCCGGCTTACAAACTCCTTCTCTTTTCTTCTTCTTTTTCCTTCTTCTTTCTTCTCCTTCTCTTTCTCTCTAGTCTCTCCCTTCAAGCCGACTTTATTTTTGATTATATGAATGTTGATTGTTTTATCTTGATTTGTTTTTCATTATATTGAAGTTGTGAACAACTCAGGTTAAATGGTTGGAGTTTTGTGATTTGTGAATGTGTAGAATTAGTACTAGAGCTCGAACTTGAATAAGGCTAGACTGGTAAACAAGTCGAGGGTCGAGCTCGTATTTTTATAACGAATCGAGCTCAAGCCCGACAGTGTTCGGCTCGACTCAATTTGTTTGCACCCTTACTAGCCTGACAACATTTGACTCGGCTTAATTTGTTTGCACCCCTACTATAAGGGGCTCCTTGCATCAAAAAATTTCAAACCTTTTAAGCATCTTCAATAATAGAAAAACTTTTTGACAAATCACAATTATGCTATACCCCAAGCTTGTATAACATTATTCTTTAGTATTGCACATATATCTTCAAAATAATGATATAATTCGGAATGTAAAACTTGGAATATCGGTGTGATTTAACATCAAATAAAAATGGTTGGATTTTAAGTTTATAAAGTCGGTTAAGCAAAGCCATCTAATAGGTTAGTCTTATAGTAGTATATAATGTTAACAGATGCCTAATCTAATAACAAACAGCATCAATGCAATCAAGTAGAAATAGATTTTATATTAGATAAAATAGCATCACCTTATATATATATATACATATATATATATATTTTTTTTGGTGGGGGGGCGCGGCGGGGGTAATCGGGGTGTCGGAGCCAGTTTGTGTGCATCTGAACTAATTCCCAAGGTCCATTGAATGCATTACAAGCCCAAGAAACCAAGTAAACAACAATATTATTATGATAGGTAACCCTAAGGTTTGAACGAAAAAACTTAAGAAAAATAGCAAACCTCCTTGACCGGTAGCACTGTTTTAAAAACCGACCTGTTATAAGGCCCGGCAAGATAACCGGGTTGCGGGTCAGATGAGATTGAAAGAATTTTTTGAGTCTATTTAATTGTGTTTTCTAGAATTTAAAAATGCAAATGGAGTAATGGACGTATAGCAAAATGGGTTTTTATTACAACTCATGGAGCCTTTATGTTTTGTTGGAAAATGAAGGCCCAATCCCAATTATACGTACACTTTCTATCATTTTAAATTATTAGATGATACATGTATGCTCATAATTGTTGGCATGTGAGAGGTAGGACAGACACTGCTTAACTCCAGCCACGTGTGGGTGAGGGCATCTATGAATACTCTAGAAAATCTCCGACACAACTCAAAAGATTTGTGATTGTGATGGAGACGAACAAAGAGAGAAGAGAGCAAGTGCAGAAGCAGAAGGTTGAGGAAGTTGAAAGAGATGCGTAGAAGAAGAACGATTTTGATACAAAAACAATGGGTGTTGGAGCAATGGTAAAGGAGCTGATTCGTGAATCCATAATTACTAAACATGATGATGACCGAGATGAGCAAGCTCAACATCCTGATGATGGATTAAGTGTCTACTCTACTGTCTAAGAGCGAAACGAAGCCGACGTTGTGCCGTAGTCACGATTTCATTAACGAATTCCAGGTCTTCAATTTCGATGAAGAAGATTGGATTTCGATGGAGGAAGTAAGTTGAAGAAGATGAAGAAGATAAGGAAGTAAGTGTAAACTTTACACTTTAGAGAAGATGAAAATGGAGGTTGCGACGACTGAAATGGCCTATGGCGAATGAAACTAATGCAGGGGAATTAAGATTAGGTTTTTTTTAGGGCTCAATTAATGGACCAGAATAAGTTTTGGACCGGTCAGATCGGACGGTTTGTAGTGTAACATCGGTCCAAAGCGGCTCTTTTAATATTAATAGGTTTGATAATAATCCGGATCGGAGTGGAGCCCGAGTCCCAGTCGGACCGTCTGATCCGGTTTGGGTTTTAAAACAGAGACTTGTAGGCCAACCCCTTAGGGTTATCACCTAATATATTATTCTTTTCCAATCTTTTAGGTAAATTGACAAACCACCTCGGCCTCCTTTGAGAATATATAGTATTATTTTTTTTAGTAAAATAGTAAAAACTAAAAAAGAATTTAATTGCAATTAATTTATAAAATAAGATAAAATTGACTAAATGATTGAATATACCAATCATATCTTCTGAAATAACAGTTTATGAAGAGAAAAATAAAAAAATTAGAAAGCAGTATAGATATTAGTGTTAACCTTTCTGATTAGCTAACATTACTTAAAGTTCCATGGAAAACAAAAGGTAAAAAGTAACCAACAAAATAAAGAAAAAAGAAAAGAAACTACAAGAATTTAAATAAATGAGAGAAAAGAACACTACTTTGTTTCATAGGCAAGCAAAAAATAAGCCTTTTTAACGTTTGGTTGTTACATTTATAAACTTACATGCTGAACTACACAAATATAAAAATCATGTACAAATATTAGATGTCATTTGGTGATTCGGCATCCAGTTGGAAATTTCTATTTAAACCAAACCTACAACTTCATACAAACCTATAACACAAAGAAATAACACTGTGCTACTAATGCATCTTCGTATACTGTTCCTTTTTCTTTCCTTTTTAGTTTTGTTTAATGTTTAATTGTTTGATCTAGGTCCATTTGAGCACCGGTTGGAAATGGTATTATACCTGAAAACGATAGGTTAGAATCTATAATTCATAACCCAAAGGTAGGAGACGCAAAGTTCGTTAAAGATTAACCTGAGCGTTTTCTGTTTTATATTTTTGAAGTTCATCTTGGGCACATATGAGCCTAAATATAACAACCAAAACCAATATCGTAAATGTTAGCATTTGAAACCGTCAATCGTTTGCGTGTACGTATGTTCGTACACGTAGGTGAAACAAAATTTTACCTCCATTGCAACTCGGTTATTTCATGAAGCAACTCCTTCTCCCTCTCATGAGATGCTTCCAGCTGCAATATAACAAAATCAATCTTTACTCACATTCAAGATCAATAAAAACTCATTGAGAATATTGACACCAAATCTCAATTTGAAAAAATTGAATATACATCAATGATAAGGATAGATAGAAATCCAAGAAGATGAGGATTTTTAAGCCAAAGAATCTCATAATCATCGCCATAAACTTATAACTTAAACGTACTCCTATGTTAAAAATGGAATTAGTTTATCTAGCAGCACTCATCTCATTGCAAACTAAACAAGCATCAAGATAACCAACAGGTTTTGACTAGCTTAGATTTTCCAACTCTATCATTAATTTAGAGATCTAGAGATTATGTCAAGGTGACACGAGTATAGCACGATACAAACACTATAGTTACACTCGGGATACAACACATTTCTCATGTTATGTCTTACTCATGTTCAAATTTCATATGCTTAAGCATGATACTCATTAGCACAACTATTTAGTAAAATCTATACTATAAAATTTGTAATCAATTAGTACTTCACTGTATTTGATTTTTTATTTCATACATGTGTACTTAAAACCCATATCTATCTCCTTGTAAATATGAAATCTCGGTTCTAGAATTACCGTTCTTTTTCTAGGGCTCACAATAATAACAGTTTATACACCACACAAGATGGAAGAATAAAAAAAAAAAGAGTCAACAAAACCTAAAAGTATATATACCAAGCAAGAAGGAAGAGAAGTGAGTCAACAAAACCTAAAGAAGTATAATTACATACCAAAGATCTTTCTCCTGAAGCCATATTTGTTGATGTTCCGCTTCCATCAACTGCACGATTAGCTGGGTAACAGAAAACAAGATGATATCACCTCACTTGAACAAAATGAGCAGATCTAATTTACATGAATTTTTTGTACCTGTTGAGTCTCCAACTGAGATTTGCTTCATTAGACCAAGAATACTCTCCTGTTGAGAATGACACAAAAAAAGGAAATAAAAGAAACATCAGTAACAATAAGAATGCACAAAAAGATGAAACATATATGGCTAACCCATACCCTTTGAAGAAGATTTGTCTGCAGTACAGAATTCAACAGCGGGAAAAGAGAATTGCCAGAAAGACTTGGTTGCATAACATCTGATGGTGTAGATAAAGTAGTTAAAGCAGGATGTTGAGTAAGCACCTACATAAGCAGTAAAATTCTATAAGACACTCAATATAATAAAGGTATAGATACATTATATTTGAGGCATATCATGAAAGGAATACTACACATTCAATGGCATGTGGTTATGAGATAATCCAACAATCAACATATATTCACATGCTATTATAATTAAACAACCACACTCCATTGGATATTAGACTTGAGACAATAAGGTGAGAAGTGTAGCATTACCTCTATAACACTGAATATTATTTAGCAGTAAATAACCTATACTTAGTTTGCTTCTTGCACGTAAAGCTAGTCTCAAATTGAATATAAATTCTAAAATAGCAAAATATTCCCTAGATAATAATATATTACCACACATATATAGGTTGATTGCCACTCTATTGGTGAATTAATTGACGAGGAAGCAAATTGCCACACCTTATTGGAAGACTAAAGATCAACTGATAGATATTTTCACCAAACATCTAGCTTGTACTTCTTTTACTATATTATTGAGCTCAATGGACCTGTTATATTTTATTATCAGAACTATTTTTGTATTTGATAGGGTTTCTAGTAGGAACCCATTCCCAAAATGATAGAGATTGGGCTGGACAGTGGACCTTTGATAGGAATTGGGCTAGAAAGTGGTCATTTTGTGGGCTTGGATAGAACTTTCATTGGAAAACCGACTTGCCAAGGAGGGTATCCAACTCCTTATAAACCAAATGCCCACCCTTTTTCTCTCTCAATGTGAGATCCTAACATTTTAACATGCTAGTGGAATCCTAACATTCCACCACGCTAGTGGGATCCTAACATTCCCCACGCTTCGAGACCCAACGCCCTCGTTGGTCTTCTTTCTAGAGACCGAACGCCCTCACCGGCTACCCCACCCTCGTCGGCCTTACTTCCCTTCCTTTTGGTCTTACTTCGCTTACAATCCTTAGAAGCCTGTCAGCAACTCTCCTTCTCGACCTCTCGGGAGGCCTATTGGGCCCTACTGCGTGGGTTAGAAAGGTGGGGCTTACTCTGATACCATTTGGTAGGAACCCACTCCCAAATTTATAAGGATTGGGCTAGACAGTGGGCCTTTGATAAGAATTGGGTAGGACAATGGGCCTTTTGTGGTCTTAGGTATAACTCTCCTTGGAAAACCAGCTTGCCAAACTCCTTATAAACCACATGCCCACCCATTTTCACTCTCAATGTGAAATCCTAACAGTTTCTAATATATATATATATATATATATATATATAGTAAAGAGAATCAGTCAAGAACAAGCCAACTTCTCCATTTTCTTTTAATTTCTTCTCTTCATCCGTTGTTTTTCCTCTTTATTTTATTTAATATTTCACTATATCAAATAATAAATTAATTGTTATGAGACGTTATAGAGTTATTAATTACCTAAACTTAACCAAATTAAAAAGGAAAACAAAATAATAGCTTTGATAGAGAAGAAGTTTTCTTGCACAAATGTGGTTATCAACTGCTTTGGGCTAAGGCTTACAGAGAAGATAACTTCCAAAGGGCCATACCAAGATTTTGCTCTCCCCTTTTAGCAAAAGGTATTGTGCTTTTGATAAAGAGAAGAGAGTCAAGACCTTATAGAAGTGTGTGGTGCTGATGCTAACTTAGATGATTTAGCATGAAAGAAATAATGAGATGTTTGAATATGTTAAAAGTTTGAAGATACCAATGTGTATTATAGGTCACAGTGCCTTATTTCGCACTCTAATGGGCTTCAATTTTAGGAGTTTCAAGACTCTTGTTTCTTCTCTACTAACTTTAATCGGAACACGGACATTACTTTGCCTATACAAATGCTATATTTTATTTGTCTTTTCACACAACCTATACAAAGTTTTTGGACCTCTTTTTTGTATATACTTCACCTCCTCCTTATGGGGTGATTCAACACCTTAGAGGATATCCGATCCACTTTTGTAGTTCTCTTATTTTATAAATATGGTTTGTTTTTCTTTTTTTTTTTCTCTTTCCTTGTCAAAAAGATTTAGCTAAAAACTAAAGTCTACAATCTATTGAAGAGTCTTTTAAAAATCCATTAAGTGGACAAGCTATAAGTTCTTCGGCACAAATGTGCAGACCTCAGTACCTACCTGCAAACTGTGACTCTTTTGCAATGTAGGAGATGGTGCCACCTGAAAAGAGAAGATGAATTCATGTCCAAACTAAACAAGAGAAGGAACATCAGGATCAAAATCTTAAGTACCTTTTCCAAGTACACATTCTCAGATGTAACCTTAAAGCGTCCCTTTTGCTGAATAACTGGTGGTTTTGCTTTCTCATCAAGTTCATCATTGTTTGCTGCCATAGTGATAATTAAAATGAATAGGAAAGCAGACTTTGGATTCAAATATTGAGACCATATTAATCATCAAATCAATTGAGAAAAAAAAAAAAAAAAAATCTTATAAATTCGTATGGAATGAGAGAAAGTTAAATTGAATGAAGAAACAAGCACTTGCCTGATGATTTAGACCCTTTTGAAGGAATTTCATTATGTAAACCCTCTGCTGCTGGAGATGTTGCTGTTCCGTTGCAGTATGAACTGTTTTGAAGCTNACATCAGGATCAAAATCTTAAGTACCTTTTCCAAGTACACATTCTCAGATGTAACCTTAAAGCGTCCCTTTTGCTGAATAACTGGTGGTTTTGCTTTCTCATCAAGTTCATCATTGTTTGCTGCCATAGTGATAATTAAAATGAATAGGAAAGCAGACTTTGGATTCAAATATTGAGACCATATTAATCATAAAATCAATTGAGCAAAAAAAAAAAAAAATCTTATAAATTCGTATGGAATGAGAGAAAGTTAAATTGAATGAAGAAACAAGCACTTGCCTGATGATTTAGACCCTTTTGAAGGAATTTCATTATGTAAACCCTCTGCTGCTGGAGATGTTGCTGTTCCGTTGCAGTATGAACTGTTTTGAAGCTGATTTTGTAACTTATCACTGAAAATTCCATGAACATTAGTTCTCACTTGTATAAGCATACACTGGGAGAGATAAAAGAGAGACAAAAAGAGGTGACTCAGCAGTCCTCTGATTACAGCATAAAGTACAAGATAAACTCTCTCGCATGATCAAAATTATGAAAAATTACAACAAAAAGAACGTACTCTCGATTTTCATAAATAAAGAGAAGAAAAATCTAAGTATTAGAAACCAAATCCCAAAGATATGCCTATAAGAAAAACTTCATAAGTTACAGTAATAACAATATTAAATGAATGAATGAATATATATGTTACAAATGTATTGAGGAACTACTACTATGTTTGATAAGAGGAGAGGAAAAGTTAAAAAGGAAGAAGGAAATGTCACATGGGAAGGAAAAACAAAGGAAGGGAAGACAACTCGCCTCATTCTTTAGTTGAATAGAAATAGAAAGGGGAAACTGGGCTTAGGCCCCTTTTTTCACCAAAAAAAAAAAAAATAATAATAATAATAATAATAATAGAAAGGGGAAAGAAAAGATGATGGTCATTTTCCACTACTTTAACGTGGAAGATACCAATACATTTATTCAGAACAACGCACATAATTTAATCAATTAATCTGGATTTTTTTTACCAACTATCGTCAGGTTTAAAGGAATTTAAAGTTATTTGTTGCTCCATCTATTAGATGTTTCCAATTTATTTTGTCCCTAAACAAGATTAGGATATATATTCTAGGAAATATCTAGTGCAACTTTACCATTCATGTAAACAACTTTACTCCTATAATGATATGTCCGACAATTTATTTATCAATTACCTGAATTGGTTTAGACATCTCCTCCTGAATGATAAAACATAAACGTATGACAAGCTATTCAAAAGATATACGACTTGCAATTTAAAACTGCCTTATTGAACTTTTACCCTTTTGTTTACCTTTTATTAACCATATTAACTTAACATTACAGTTTTGTAATCCTACTCAACAATATACGAAGTATTAGATACTAAGTTTTGTATTCTTGGCCTTAAAGAATATTTTAAAGTCCACATTTCTTTTCAGAGGTTGGATCAGGGATCTGTTTGAGTTTTAACAAAAACATGAACTTATCTAACTCTATTTCACAGAATATATGTTATGATTTCAAAACTGGTATGTTTAGCATAGAAAACAAGCATGATTGTCATTTGGTCAGTTTAAGATCTCTAGTTAAATCACAAAAATGAAAGAAGGAAAAACAGCAAGGAAATTGGCAATTATTTGGGTCCATAGAAAACCAATAGCTTAGTCAGTTATATTAGCAATTAGAAATCTGGCATGCTCCCAACCAATATAGTATGGCATGACCATCACTAACCTCTCAAAAAAGAACATTTTGACCTAGAAAACTTTTAATAAATATGTAAATGAAGTGGCAAACCTCTCTTTGCTAACCGGAGAAACAATACTTTCTGTGATGTTGAATGATGAACTCCCATTTATTTGGAGAGCAGGAACAGCAGTACTCTCCAGATTCTTTACACTGATCTCTAAAGAAGGCATTTCACGCAAACTTTTTTGATTGCAATCATCAAGATGGGGTGAGGTATTTGGCATAGCATATTGTTCAAAACATGGACTCGCTATGCTGGAGTCATCATCGGATTTATCATATCTAACTCTGAAAAATGAAACATTAGTTTGATCAATTAACTTTAAAAAGCCTTAGCCTTAGTAATGGACTTCAAATAACAATTGAAAAACTTCAGCATTTAAGTTTGATCTGGCACAAGTTTGCTCTTATCTTTGCAGCTAATTGACTGTAGATGAATCAACAATTAAGTAGAGACATAAATGTGGATTGTTAATTTATTATCAGTACAACTGGCAAGTTTCTAAGTTAAAAGACGTACTTGGTAATGACAATTGTTGAGTCACCTGACTGATGAGGATTCTGCACCAGATCATTGTCAGCCTGTGAAATTCCAGATCATTCATAACCATTAAAGACCATAAAGAGAAAAGTTAACAATATTATGAAAAAAAAATAGTAGAGACCTATCTCCCACTACAAAGCACTAAAACCAGAGTATTGATATACCAAATCTGCAACTTGGCTCTCTAATTGTTTCTCTTGCGTGGTGTCAAGGCTAGACAAAAAACTCGAGCTCCCTGCTTGACTGTTATCAGATACCATGTCCTCATCTTGGATCTAATAGAAAGAAGCATTATCAACAGAATTCCAAAAGGATAACCACACAGCCCAAAACATTTTCATTAAATAATGAAATGGAACACTGTTATGTACCAGGGAAGCTTGAGCCTTCATATCTTCAAGGTTGAAGTTCCAACCACTAATCCCTCGTTTATATTCATTCTATATATAAATAAAAGATGACAAAAATAGCTAGTTATGACATGAAAAGAGCAAACAAGTGAAGAGAGAGGATCCTACTTGCAAGTAATGAGTTACATTGAAGAAACAGTCTAACTAGGATAAAATTCAGTCAAAATATGAAGTGAGATGGTCATCCATAGCCAATTAAGAAAAAGTGAAACTTCAAAGAGAATAACATACATTGGCCAACAAGTAAATAAGAGAGGAAAATATGTTCAGTTATTAAAACACCGATCAAAGGCAATCAGTCTGATAACTAAGGACTTGAAAATTCTAGAAAAAGAGGAAGAGCAAATCAAGCAAAATTGAGCTCCTAGCCGGTCACAAAAGCTTATATAATATACCCTAAGATTACCAAAAAAGAATTAAAAATTAAAACAAAACAAACAATTCCAAATTATTTAGTTTCTTCCTTTATCAAGAACAACCCAAGCAATGCTTAATTGCTGAAGAACAGGAAAGAGTGAAAAAGATTATGATCATTTCCCCTTAATAACTACTTGAAAAACTCTTTTTACCAAAGACTGATTCATAGCCACTCCATCAGACCATCTCTATGGTTAAATCATCATCTACTTCTCCTTAGCCATCCTAATGTTTCTATAGTGGGTAATATCACATATGATAGGTGCACTTATATCGATCAAAGAACCAAAGCACCACATCCTCAATCATCCTAACATTTCAAGGCCAAATAACATAGCATTCAAACATCCAAAAACACTCTTATTATCCAAAATAACCTCACGCCTGAATTTTGTTAGGTATACACACATCATTTTTTATCATTACATAAGAAAATTCAAAGCAACTTTGGTACTAATTTTAGCTGAAATATTTCAGTCTTGTGAATCCATGGAAAAAGAAAAAAAAATTCCTTTTTTGTGCTAGGGCACAGAGACAAACTGGATATAGCCGACATGTTTTTATTTCATTCAAGGATGATTTATTTATAAAACAGGACCAAGTCCAATTGGTTATGGAGGCCATCTTCGCAATTAGATTTAGGCATGAATTCAAGCTGAGTTGTTTTAAGTACAATCTAGTCATCACTCACCTCATGAGATGTATAAAACAACAAGGAAAGGCCCGAAAAAGAAGTCTCTATTCTTTATCAAATGTCAGAGCTAAAAAGGACAAAATATTATTTATCTTACAAATGGATGTTCTAACATCAAAATAAAGTGAAAGCACCTACAACGTGTTTCACTCAAAAAAGGTAAAAAGAGATCTAAATTATGACCAATTGCAAACGGAAAAATGATAAAGGTTTAGCTCATCAATTATAAGATAGAGCATAAACAGGTGCCTAAAATGTTTGTGAGGGCTATGCAAAATTGGTTTAATAGAATTTTCACATATTTGCAAGCTAGATAATTATTTAACTTTCCCCAGTTCTACAGGCAAACTAAAAATGATCATGATGTAGTAAATATGTTCTTCATTGAACTTGTCAAGTTTACTGTTCACCGAAATTCTAACCTGTGATATTTCCTCCTTTTGCCCATCTGGCATTTTCTTCTGTGCAAGCATATCTTCTTCCTTTCTCTGTGGCTCAAAATCAATCTTTCTATTAGAACATTATAAAAGAAACAACTTGTGGTACAAAGATTGAACCCTCAAAAGTTAACATGCTAACCTTCAATGCCTTAATACGATCACCAAGAGCAGGCAGCCCCTCCAAAAGCGTTCGTGCTATATAATCATTTGACCTCGCTTGTTTGAAAAAGGAATGCTTTAATAACTTCTTTGCAGAAGGCCTTTTTGAAGGATCTTTCACCAAGCAACTAGCAATCATCTGCTTAAAAGACTAAAGAGACAAGAAAAATATATTAAAAAAATCATGCAACATTATTATAACCGAAGAGCTAATCATATAAGATTTCTGAGAGCATACCTTAGAGAACTTCCTATCTCTTTCATAATCAAGGCCAGGAGGTGCGTTTTGCAAGGTCATAAGCAGTACCTAGCAACATTAGATGTGCTTGAGGTTATTATAGTCTTGGTGTTCCACAAAAGAAATTCTAACAACATTCATTTATTTATAATGTATCACCTTTATTGGAGAATATTTTGAGAAAGGAGCATGGCCATGGGCAAGCTCTAATGCAGTTATACCAAATGACCAGATATCAGCCCTGCAGGGAAGTGTCAGACATACATCAGCATTATTCCATCTACTCAGTATGAAGTGGAGTCAATCTTTTGAGAAAACAATAGACTGACTTAAAGTCATAACCGTGTAACTGCTCCATAACCTCAGGTGCCATCCTGCAAAACAGTGAAGAACCATTAAACACATAATAATAACAAACAATAAAAGCTTTGAGTGTCCAAGTCTCTGATAAGAAAGTTCAGATTTTAATATACAATCTATACCACCATTCAAGATGTATATGTATTAGTTAAAGCAATTTCTATTTCAGTGAGGTACAAAATAGTTGCAATGAAAACTTTAAGAACTAGAACTTGATGATGTGTTTGAGTATTTAACAGTAAAAGCTTACCAGCAAGGTGTTCCAACAATAGTATTCCTCATGCGTTGTCTATCACCAGACTCAAAAAGGCAAGCAGAAACACCGAAATCGCCAAGCTTCACTCCACCACGTGCATCCATGAGAATATTCCCAGCCTATTGGAAACATAAAATAAGATAACAATGATCAATCAATAAATATAAATAACTTCTTATCAAATATAAAATAAGAAATAAATGAACAGAAAGGAAAAAGACATTACTTACATGCATATTGAATACAAGAATTATTTTTATCTAATCCAAGTAAAGCGAGTTTACAGCATAATGATGACTCAAGCTTTTATGTAAACAAATGCTGTCAGCAGTACAGCAATTTATTAGAAATCATTTCCTCTGTCTTCGCATATAATTGTTTCCTACAGGTATGGAGTTTGACTGGGGCCTTCACTTAACCAACAAACATAATTCCATAATCTTATTGATTCTCATGCACTCTCCTAAAGTTCCGTATTTTATGAAAATATAGGACGGTCATAATAATTTGAGAATCCATTCATACCCTGTGCAATGTAATATTACACTCAGCTTCTCAAAATAATGAATCAGTTTTTAAATTTCCACCATATCTGTATAAATCAGAGGAAAATATGAGAATGAATTGCATTTTTCTTATGTATTGCAGATGTAGAATATTCTTTTGCTGTAGAGTGTGCATACACACATACACACATACACACAAGACTTATCATAAATATAATTATGTTTTTGACAAGTAATAAATAACACAAAGTCACTGAGATAAAGAAACTAATATAAGATTATGAAAATTAATGGCCTTTCGGTTTTGTTTTGCAAAGTTGTTGTGGAAAAATAACTCAAAATAAAAAAAAAAATATGTATTTTCTATTTTCATAATTTGAGAATATGTCAGCCTCATTTTCAAAGAAAAAAAAAAAAAAAAAAAAAAAAAAAAAATCCTGAAATGAAAATGAGAACGTGTTTGGTAGAGCATTTTAATAATTAAAAACAGTGTCTATAAATATTTAAAAAATACCTTGTTAATGTTCTTATTGATTAAAAAAAAAAAAAACATAATATTGAATTACTTCTTAAATATTATAATATATCAAGCAACTCAAAAGTAAATTATTTTTCCCTTTTTACCCTTCTTTTTTTAGAAAGAGAAAATGAAATTCTCCAATTTTTCAAAATGTTTTCCAAAAATTACCAACTAAACACATTTTCTCCATTTTGAAAATGAAAGTGAAAAAATGTTTTTTAAAATGCATCTGCACAGCTCCTTAACTGCAGCATACCTTGAGCTGCCTCATATAGCAAGTAAAGTTAAATATAAAGATAGCATGCAGCTCATATAAAAATCATCAAGTTATAATAAACAAGTACTCACTTTGACATCTCGGTGTATGTGTCCATGATGATGGAGATATTCTAAACCCTTCAATACCTCACGGAGTATGGTTGCTATAGCCACTTCCTCAAATCCATCAGGATATGCAGCCTTCAGCATGTGAAGACAAGATCCCCCCGCCATAAACGGCATAACAACCCACAGATTATGGTCACTAACAAAGGAGCAGTGTGATTTAAGCACATTAGGATGGTCAACCAAGACCATTGTCTGTGCTTCACGAGAAATATTACTCTGTGGATATAATAATTGAAAAAATCACAAATGAAAGCTTCAAAAATATTAATCACACCATGCATAAACAGAGCATGAACAAAATTTTTAAAATTTCAGAGAGAGAGTGAGATGAATTATGTATAATTACATTAAAAGTTATTTGATAGCAGTCCCAGACACTAAATTACATCCACATACTCCAGAAATGAACAATACACCAAATACAACAAAGTTCAGTAAATAAGTTTTTCCCTAAGCAATTTAAAACTCTCCTGGAAAATGAAACTCCTATTCATCAAATAGGCATTTCAAATGTAAATTTATCACCTAAAATCGCATAGTTATAAATGACAGGCATGACAAAGCTGCTGCCAAGTGAAAACATGAAATAGTAGATTTCAAGAAATCATAAAAAGAGTTTAACATATCATTAATTTCGTTCAAGGATTCAATTTTCTTCTCATTCAACATGATAGATTCATATTCTTCTACCCAATTTAAATTTCAATACATCCAATCATTGTCAATGAGAAAGCCAATGACAAACACCTCTCTTGGGACAAATTTAGCTCAAAATATCAGTTCCTTTTTAATAATTACTTAAAAACACATCCACCTATTTCCCAAAATTGTGAAAACAAATCTTCACAGCGCAATCCAGGTAAAAATATAGGCAATCTAGATACTTAATTAACATAAACTTCAAGCACCGAGGTTAAATAAATTAATTAAAAAGTCAGTTGAATAACTCTAAAGTGTTCTTCTCTCCTCTTTACGTTTCAAATCCATATTAAACTCTCAAACAAGAAATTTGCTAAAATGCAGAATTCTGTAAACTTCTTGCGCCAAAATTTCGTCTTCAAGTAAATATAAACTCTTAATTTTACACGAAAAATTACACGTCTACATACAGAAGAAAATACATAACTCCGTTTATTTCTGAAATTACATTCATCTAGCGTAAAACAACGCAACGCAATTGAATAATCAAAGAGAAAAAATCAATTGAACAAAACTAAAAATTCAAAAAAACTGATGAGAAGACGGAAATAGATATTACCAGATCACTATTGTTACGTTCGAAATCAAGAATCTTGATAGCAACAACCTCACTGAAAGGAATACACAGAGCACGATGAACCGAGGCGCTGACGCCACAACCGACCTCTTCATAGAGCGTGTAATGCTCCGCTCCAATCGGATACTTCTTCCGCTCCATCATGACTTGAAAATTTTGTAGCTCAAAATGTGAGGATTTGTATTGGCGAAGAAGAGAGAACGAAAATGAATGCGAGAGAAAGAGAAGGTAAAAGAGGAAGAACTAATGATAAAGGAAATGTGAAAAGGAAAAATGAATGAATATGAATGATGATGAGGAGAGGAGAGGAGAGGAGAGGAGGTTTGTTGTCTCCGCTTTCTCGTGAGAGAGAGAGAGAGAGCGAAAAGAGAAACGCGACGCTATCGGATCACCGCTCATATGGGAAGACGTTCGTACGCGGGAATCCCACCACTTGTCTTTGTTTCTCTGCACAGTATATTCATTCTTCCCTTTTTTTAATTTTTTTTTTTTTTTTTTTTTTTTTTTCTTTTTTTTTTAAATTTTTTTAAAAAAGAAAAGTTGTAACAATAATTTAGACATAATATGTTATTTTATAACTTTTATAAGGTATAAAACACTTTTTCATTATCGTCTATTAGACAATGTGTTGAATACAATTAAATCAATTGTCGTTTTAAAATATTTTATATGATAAATTTGATCAAATACTTAAAATACTTGTTTCAATTTTAATCCTAAAAACTAGTATGAAGTTAGAAAACAAAAAATTTTAAAATATTATATTGAATAGATTTAAACTATTTTTGAATCGTACTTCAAATTTTGAAAATGATTCTTAATCACAAATTTATCAGGTATAATTTATTATTATATGTATAACTAACAATTAAAATAGGTGGTGTAGTATAATGATAAATATATATATATTTTTTTTACAATTTAAATTGTTTCTAATTATTTTATTATAATTTTAAATATAATTATAGCATTTTTTCTGTTATTATAACTGCATTTTTTTTTTCAAATAAAAAGATTTATTTTTTGGGGTTAAATACTCTATCTGTAAAAACTTAAATTTATAATTGCATGTTAAAGGGTCACGGATTAATTCAAGATTCAGTGTAACAAGAGATACTTTTTATATATTTATTTATGGGAAATGCAACAAAAACAGACTTTAAAGTTAACAGTAGCTTTTTACGTTACCCGTGACATAATGAAGCCAAAATTAGAAAATTGACTCGTCCTGAAGTACGTAGTCAGTTGTGACTCTGCACTGCATGGTTATTTTATTTTATTTTAAAACTTTATATTAAAATTATTTTTTGTGATACTGGCAATATATTGTAGAATAATGGGCCAACAACAGAAACGGTTATATCTGTTATTAATTTGTTATTTTTAAGAGTTTGATAATATTATTGAGAGTTATTTTCGGGTATTAAATTTCTCTCAGAGATTATTGAAAATCTTTTAAAAAATAATAAAATCCTCTAAAAGTATCATGAACCTTTTTAAAATATCAAAAACCTTCAGTTTTTAATACTTTTTGAAAAATTACTCATGTTATTGTATTAGAGTAAACAACTTCCCACCCAAGGTTTGTCTTAATAACGCTTTTCCAATAAAAAAGTTTCAAAATACCACTTTCTCACCTATAGTTTATATTTCGTTAATACCCAAAATATACTTCACTTTCTCATCGGCAAGTTACCAGGAGTTAGGGTAAGAGAGGTTTTATAGAGTAGAGACCGATGGATCTAATAATGGTGACTAATTGAATATTCGTCATTGGAATCAGTCAGAAATCAACTAAAAACAAAAAACCATCGCTTTGCGGTAATCGGCAATCGACGAGAAATTAGGTGTCGGAGTGAGACAATTTTTGCAGAGAGGAGACAAGAGGTTCAAATGGTGGTGACAAATAGAATTTTCATCATCAGAATCGGTTTTGAGTAGTTACGAAATATTATCTTTGGGCGGGAAAGTGATATTTTGAAACTTTTTGCGTGGGAAAGTGTCATTCAAGCAAACCTTGGGTGGGAAAAAGTTGTTTACTCTATTGAATTAATATTAAACTTTCCATTAGAATTTAAGTAATCAATGGTTATAAAATTAGTATCATAGTATTTTTAATAAAGAATAATTCTCTAGTCAAAATGATATTAATTATATAATGACTATGTTAATCACCCTTAGATTCTTATCTATAAACTATCATTTTAATCCAATAAGTAAATCCAATAATATTTCAGCATGATCTTTAAAAAAAATAATACGAGGATGTTTCAACCCAAAAAATTTCATTCTTTTAAATATAAGACATTTATTATAGAGTTAACGACTTTTTCCCACCTAAATAATAGTTTAATGACACTTTTTCACTCGTAAACTTTTAAAATATCATTTTACTACCAAAATTTATATTCCGACAACAAACAGAGAGCAAACTCGGTTCAGATGTTGAGGTTTTTGAAGAAGGGAGGTCGATGAGTCTTTTGGTGGTGTAAGGTTGGATTTTGGTGTTTAAGATTGATCAGAATTTGACTTAGGAGGGACGGCTGTGCAAACCCTAATTGTTCAATTGCGAGCAATTGGAGGCGTTGATAGGAGTAGGGTTTAAGATGACTTTTGGTGAGTGATGATTAAAGAAGATAATTGTCTGGTGTGGGGTCGCAACGATGCTAGAATCGAAAACGGAATATAAATTTGGATAATGAAATGGTATTTTAAAAATCTGTAAGTATAAAAATATCATTAAGTCATTATTTGGGTGGGAAAATTCGTTTACTCTTTATTATATGTTAATTGTTATATTTCTTTACGTTGGAGGGGAATCTTTGTGCAATTAACAAGTCAATATAAACCGTTGATTGAAAGTTAATTAAAAAAATAAATGTCAGTTAAGGTGGTAGATGAAATGTTCCAAAATGATGTTATTTGTTATTTATTCCTTTATTTATTATATGTTACTCTTTACAGAAAATTAGGTCAAGATATTTTTGAATTTTGGACCTAAAATTAACATAAATAAATGGTCTTGGGAAATGTTCGTCGCAATGGTGGTTACTTGAATTAAATTATTAAGTGGAAATTTCGTCATATTTGTCTTTATCAGGTGATTTAATATTTTAACGTGTCAATGGTCTATACGTATTGGGCAGTGGACAAATAATTTTATTAATTCTCTAACAATTTTTACTAAATTTGGAAATTTTGTCACATTTGGGGGAAATCAGAGTTTCTATATATGAGTGTTACTTATTTAGTTTTCTTGCAACATTATTCTATGATTTTACTTAATCTGAAGATTTAAAATTAAGTTGGCATTTAATTCAAAATTACAGGTAAATCAACTATATCTTATTAATTTCAGTAATTCTTATGCTAGTTTACTTATATCATGCACATCTATTCCGATCCCATCAAGATTGATTGAAATTCTCTGATTGATGCATATTTTTGTATCAACACAAACTTCATTACAGGACACTTACTCAACCACAAAATTACTCCATTTTTTTTATTTTTTTATTTTTTTATTCATCATATTGCTATCACCGGAAGCAACTTGAATAAGAAGCAATTCTTGTTATTTATTTGTATTTTGTTAATGTTCATTGCTTGTTCAATTAAAAATTTATTCATTAATAGTAATTTAACTAAGTCATGGGGTACAATCATCATGACTACCACTTAACATTAAAATAGATATTTTTAGGTTTTTATTTTTTCTTATTTTAGGAGAGTTTATGATAATTTTAAGGTTGATTTTAATAGTTTTCAAAATTATTAAAGCGTTTAAGATTTGTTAATTCTTTCGGGAATGATGAAGTTAACTCGATATTATATACGTACAGTATAAAGTATAAACACTTTAAAGAAAAATAATTTTTTATTTTATTTCTATTTTAATGTTAAGTGGTAGTCATGATGATTGTACCCCATGACTTAGTTAAATTACTATTAATGAATAAATTTTTAATTGAACAAGCAATGAACATTGGCAAAATACAAATAAATAACAAGAATTGCTTCTTATTCAAGTTGCTTCCGGTGATAGCAATATGATGAATAAAAACATAAATATAAAAAAAAAACGGAGTAATTTTGTGGTTGAGTAAGTGTCCTGCAATGAAGTTTGTGTTGAAACAAAAATTTACATCAACCAGAGAATTTCGATTGACCTTGGCGGGATCGGAATGGATGTGCGCGTGATTACGGATAATTAGCGATTGACAAGTATTGAATGCAATAAAGTAAAAGGCAATGAGAGTTTTTAAAGTGGTTCAGCGAGGTAAACTCTTAAGCCTACGTCCACTGCTTTTTGTATTTGCTATAAGAGCTTACAATGAGAATTATGTGAAAATTTTGTAATCCCTTTTCCATAATTTGAGGGGGTTTATTTACAAGGTTTGTACAAATAAAAGAGCAAAAATAAAGGGATTACAATTGATCTAAACTATAATTCCGATATTCTTACGATTGGGTGCTGTGATTGCGTAGAGATTGCTGTTGATCTAGTCATTCTCGTGATATCTGGGATCTGAAGTTATCTGGGAATTAATTGAATGATCATTCAAGTTGTTCGTGACTGGCTTGTGTTGGGTCGAGCTACAGGTCGATGAGCTTATGCTCGAACAACTGGTGGAGTTGGACTGATCCTGGGTCGGGCTACATCCTCGCAGTAGCCCGAGCTTGGTGGAAAAATCACACACAACATCTGCCCTTAGTGTTCAATGTTTGTTTCAAGCTTCGAAGACTATTGCTCGATTTGATACCAAGCTCGCCATTAACAACAGGTCTCTAGATGCAAGTTCGACCGAGCTCTTAGGGTCGACATCATGTCCGGTTGACGTGCTTCATACTTGTTTACTTCCTGCGATACCTATCGAACTTAGAATATGAAAAGCTAGGACAAATATGTAATTTCCATACGGTCATGTCGCATTAAATTTGATAGCCTTTGTTAGTCACGCTTCGTCGCGCATGGGCGTCTATAGTTGTCAACGTGCAAAGTCGAGGCGACGGTTATCAGTGCAATAGTCTGACGGTTCATCACCCCTTGCAGATGGATGACACGTGGCCATGTCTAAGGGTCGAGATTGCTTGAAGAATGAAGGGTCGAGATTCACTATAGATCGACGGCTGCGAGTAAACCCCGCCCTTTCGTTTTCCATGCAAACCACTATAAAAGGTGGCAAAGTTGTCAGAATGCTCATTCAGTCCACAAAAGTTTTCTA